GGAAGTCGCCTTTGATGACCGACCGCGGCTTCTTCTCAAGCTCAGCAGCTCTCTTCTTGAGGCCCTTCACACGTGGCTGGCGTTGAGTGACACGTCGTGTTGTGAATTCTCAATTCTTGATCTATACTGGACTGCCTTGAGCTTGGCTCCGATGACTTGGCCAGGACCCGCAGATTTGAGGCCTTTGCTTCACAGCAGCTGAGCACAGACATGGCACAACTCTGGCACGACCGCGAAACAGCTGAGGTTTGCGCTGATTTCACGGCTCTCATTCATGGGGGTGGTCCCTCAGCTTGGCACACTACACAGAAGTCTGACTTTAGATGCTGGAATCGGCTTCTGGGAAGCAAACCAAGTTTCTTTCTGAGCCCTTCGAGGTGGGCTTGCAGCTCCTATGACCCGACACTGCGCTTCAGCTGGGCAATTGCGGATCAGGTGCTCAAATTTGGTGAGGCCAGCAAAGCCACCTCTTCGTATGCGGCCAGCTCTTTTGGCCCTGGCTTCTCAAAACCCTTGTCAGCCTTGCCAGAACTGGCCGCTTGACCTCTGCTGGAAGCAACACGGCGCACGTGGCATGCTTGATCATGTGTGAACGCGAGCATGCTTCACGGAACGATGCTTGTTTGACTGAGGCTGGCTCGCGATGAAGCTTTTTGAAATACTTTACTGCTTCGCATGTATGCCTCAGCACAAGCTGCAAGGCTGCGAGGCTGCGAGGAGAGATTGAACTTCAGCGTCGATGACGTATTGTGGTGCTGTGGAGGCATTTGCAACTGAATAATGCTAGGCTGTCCATTCTGCTTTACTCTCTTCGCAGAGCCAGCCCAGAAACAAACCTGCAAAGGGCGACATCAGAGGAGGACGTCAACTTGCATAGCAGCGCACGGTGCACCTGCTTGCATCTGGCTCTTGGATATAGAAATGCAAATTTATGGCCAGAATGCAACCTGACACATCCTGCGAGCAAACGTTGCTCCATTGGAAGGCATCTACCCGCTACTAGTAGAGCCAAAGCACAAGACCGCACGCACCACTCATGTACCACAAATTCCTAAAAGTGAAATGCCGTCACCGAAACCGTACCATCATGAGTCTTTCTACGTGACAGGAACTCTCTTGACAAGGAACCCACCCTCGGGACCGCAACATCAGGTTCTCCAGCTATACCCGTGTAACACCTTGGAATCATGAGCCAGGAAACTAGACGGGCGGGAGAACGCACTAAGAGCCCCAATATTAATACTATTATAAACTAGTGCATGAATAGTATATTGTACAGGCGCTTGTTGCGTTCACTTGTTGCAGGCGTGTGCGTGAACGAACAAAGGACGAACGCTGTGAGGGGAAAAGAGTGAGCGATATTAGACGCGCCTCAAAGAGTATTAACTGGGCACTCTTAATCAATCACGTCAGCCCGCTGAGGCCAAGACGTCAGCAGATCGTCTCAACCGCACGTCGCGGAACCAGCCCCTACCTGATTGCAGTTCTGCCAAGCTCTGAACTCTGCGAACATGCGAAACTTTGCCCGATGATGCTTGTTTTCAGTACAAGCCTTCCTCGGTTCGAATTATGCCTGCCCGTGATTTCTTGGACTTGAACCGCCGTTTACATGTGCAATGACTGGAGAAGCTTTGTACGCATTCTCGGTCAACACAGGCTGTTGGTGCTCACGTCACTTCAGCAAACAGCTGTGAGCCTAATCAACTGCCACATCGGAGCTGGCTGATTAAACTCGGCAATTCTCAAAGTGGACTTTGCAGAAATATGAGGCTTGCGCGAAGGACCTTTGGACCCCCTTTGACTGTTGCTGGTTGGTAAAATTTTCAGGTGTCAAGGCCGCACGGTCCAAGGACTCGACGCCGCAACAGCTGAGTGGTTGCAGCCTGGTTCGGCTTCTCACGGACAGACACAAGATAGACACTGAAATGTGCCTCCAGCAACTCAAGCGCCAGCTTGGCTCCATCGAAGGTCGCCTCTTGCGACACAGAAGCAGAAGTCAACTCGCTGCGGAGAGCTGCATTCAATTGCAGCTGTTGCTATTGCCGGAAGACCTTCTCAATGGGCGGTGGCGATGGAACCGGCGAAGATTTGGCGGCTGCGATTGGTGCGCTCTTTGCTTTCGGCTTTGCTTTGCGGGCCGGCCTCCCAGAACCACTCCAACTACTACGACTACAGAGACGGCGAAAGAAAGCAAGGAATGTGCGAAGGTGCAAGACAGCTGCAAAGTTGAACATAGACAAAAGTCTGTCAGGCAGCGTCGAGTTGAGGCACTTGGCTTCAGACTTGGCTTCTTGTTTTGATGTCGGCGAGGCTAAGGTCGACCTTAGGAACCAACGGAAGAGCGCGGAGCAATGCATACTAGCAACGCAACGCAGGCTGGATCATGGCCACTCACGGGCCCCAGATGCCAGGAGAGGCTGAAACATGGTAAAACCAACTTGAAAATCGATTTTGGACCCAGATTCCTGCTCGATTTCGTGCCCTTCCACGAACGGGCATATTAGCCGAGGCCATTTGCAGTGGAACGCGAGGCCGATGTGCAAGACTGAGATCCCAACCGCTTCGCAGGTGCCAACAGGACCTCTCTGCAAAGCGTATTCTTTGAAGACCGTTTGGAACTCGGAAGTACTGCAGCCCACTGCCTCGTTAATCTCCGCAGCAGAAGCATCTGGCCTCAACGCCCGCAAGTGCATTGAGGGACAAACGCTGCTGCAGCAGATCCACCCGGACCATTCATCGTGAATGCAGGTTGGCCGAATGAGCCCATTCCAGTCGTAAGGCTCCACAAGCTTATGGCTCAGCATTAAGGCGAATCAGGTTTGGGTGTTAAAGTTTCAACCTTCCGCCATGGTCTATAAAGCAGAGGTGATGGCAGAAACTCGAACATCCAAAAACCAGTGAACAAGCTTCAAGCCGAAGCTTGCGCCGGGTGGTGCAGGCATTGCTGCACAGGACAAACCACAATCATGAGAGTGCCAACCCCGATGCTGTAGATACATCACAATACATATATATATATATGTATATTATATATATGTAGACATATATATATATATATATCTTTTTTTCACAAGCTTCACCCCGACAGTAAGCCACCTCCGAAAGTTCAGACACTTGGACACCAGAGCTGGCAGACAACCTGAAGGACGCACGAAAAGAGACGAACATACTCTACAACATCAAAGCTCTCAAAGGCAAGCGATGTATAAAGGGAATACCGACTCCGATCCATGCCAGATGCACCAGTAGAACGGTTTTCACCTTTCCACCGTACCACCCAAGGTCCGCGCGGCCCCTCCGCTTGAGGGATCCTCTTTCTTTTCTTGGGCATTACCTCCAGCAATGGAAGCTCTTGACATGTCATGACATGACATGACATGGGGCAGGTCTCATTCAAGTCTGGGGATCGCACGCTCTGCCCAAGCTTAAGGTGTTGCTGCACGATTGCCCCCATTCACGCATCGAGCCAGAAAGCACAGCACGGCGTCCTCTGGCTACTGTTAACCCGTGAGATGGGGTTGGACGCTTGGAGCTGCTGACACACTTCTAAACACCCCCAAAACCGCCCCTCCAACCTCCCTGCGACGGGCCGGCGCGTGCAGCCCGAGCCTGCTTCACACGAGTGCAAAGCCCAAGCTTAGAGCCAACAGAGCCATAAACTACCTCAAGCCTTAGACCCTGCTCCTGACACTGTTGACCTCTGGCCCCAAGAACTATGTGCACTATGTACATTCTCAAAATCCAGTTTGACTGGGCGCTACTTTGGCTGCTACTGAACTTCGGTGAAACTCGCAAACTGCTATATTAGCAATTTGCAGCCCCGGAAGGCGGCCTGTGACTCACTGGAGATCATCATATTGGTAGCAATGCAACTGTCAGCTCTTGTAAGCATCAAGGAAGTGCGTCACGATCATCTGGGGCTCACCCAAAAGTTCCCCAACCGAGGTACCTGCGGCTCTAGACGGGCACACACTTGCGTTTGGCAGCTTGTTCGCGACATCACTGTATACTCCGTAGGCAGACACAATACGCAAAACATCAACACTTTATCCATCTTCATCCCATTCTACCAGCCGCCGAAGCACCGGTTTCAGCGCGGCTTCGAAGTTGTCCAAGTGTGCACAAATGGCTCCTGCAGCACAGCTAGCACTAAGCACTAGTGCTATCATGTGCAGCGCAAGCGTCCACACGGGTGCACAGGCCACCTAGCGTGGGCTTCGCATCAGGCATTGAGACCTTTCTTCGCGACAGACAAGCACCGGAGCACCAACACCTTTTCTGGAAAACTCGCACCAACACCTTTCCCATGCATTCTGGCGGTAGTGAGGACGACACGGCCTGTTCTGCCTCCTCGTAGCTGATTGCCTGCCTTACATGCTTCGGCACATACCGATGCACACCCCAAGGCCTTGAGGCAGCTACCTGTTGCCCGTGTATACATCGTTGCACAAGACAATCTTCAGCTCAATGAACGGCCTCAGATCCGATGTGTCTTGCAGTTCTGCCGCACTGCCAGTCTGTCGATGTCTTCCTAACAATTTGATTCGAGCATCCTCGCCTGCATGCCAGATTGAATTGACAGAAGTCGTCAGCCATGGGTACTTCGCCCGCGGGCACCCACGAGTTTTGCATCTCCAGCCTGATGTGGTGTTCGGCAACATCTAGATCTTGCAAAAAACAGCCACCCTCACTACTTATCCAGCACAGCCACCAGCCTCCCTTCGAATCCATGCGGAAAGAATTGAGCGCTCGGCACCTCAGGCTTTACTTAAACTCACACGCTCATTTAAAGAACCTCTCCTGTGCTGCAGCCAAGAGGGGAAGACAGTGAATCCAAGAGTTAAGGAAAATTAACTCTGAAGTTAATTGACCGGCATCGGGCCGGCTCGACGCCCCTTAGGTCCAGCACAATTAACTCTCGATTTAATTGCCTGTTGATGTCGCGCGACGCAGCATGCCATGCCGGCAAGCTTCTCAAGCAAAACAATTAAATCAGGATTTAATTGTTTCTGCTAGACGATCCCAACCCGCAGAAACAATTAAATCACGATTTAATTGTTCCCCCCTACCTTTCAACAATTAAATCACGATTTAATTGTTCCCCCTCAAGTAATAGTAATAATAATAGTAATAATAATAGTAATAGTAATAATAATAATAGCAATAATAATAATAATAATAGTAATAGTAATAGTAATAGTAATAGTAATAATAATAGTAATAATAATAGTAATAGTAATAATGAGAATAATAGGAATAATAATAAGAAGAACAATATTAACAATAGTAACAATAAGAAGAAGAAGTAATAGAAATAGTAATAGCAATAATAATAATGATAATAATAGGAATAATAATAATAGTAGTAATAATAATAATAGTAGTAACAATAAGAAGAAGAAGAAGAATAATAGCAATAGCAATAGCAATAGCAATAGCAATAGCAATAGCAATAGCAATAGTAATAGTAATGGTAATAGTAATAGTAATAGAAATAGTAATAGTAATAGTAAAAGTAATGGTAATAGTAATAGTAATAGAAATAGTAATCGTAATAGTAATAGTCATAGTAATAGTCATAGTAATAGTAATAGTAATAAGAAAATAATAATAAGAAGAAGAATAAGGATAATAATAGTAGTAAACATAATAATCATAGGAATAATAATAGTAATAGTAATAATAGTACTAATATTAATAATAATAATAAGACTAATAGTAATAGTAATAATAAGACTAATAGTAAGAGCAATAATAATAGTGCAATTAAATCATGATTTAATGGTGCAAACAGGTACCAATTAGCACAAGTCTTTGCTGCACCATTAACTCACGATTTAATTGTCTTCCAGTCAAACGCAAAGAAACACAATTAAATCACGATTTAATTGTGTTTTTGTAGGGATAAGGTATGTCGAGGTAGGTCAAAACCCAACCCAGAAGCAACAATTAAATCAGGATTTAATTCTTTTTAACTTCTGGATTCATGGGTTTTCAGCCAAGAGGGAGTCAGAATCAGAACGAAGACATAAACCGTTACGAACAAATAGTAACCTCGGTCATCCTCAACCTACAGCCGATGTGGGAGCCACCCTGCCATTTTGGGTCAGGCAATTGAGGGGTGGACCGTCGAACAACACTCGGCAGACTCTCTGCGGGATTCTCTGTGGGCACTCCAAGAACACTTGGCAGGAGCATCTGTGGGATTCTCTGAGGGGCACTCCAAGGATACTGGGCGGGACTCTTTTCTGGGGGTGGGCACCCTAGGGATAGATACTCCACGGGACTTCCTGCAACCTTCTCTTCTCTGGATGTTGGCACTTGAGGACACCCGGCAAACCTATCTCCAAGCTTTTTTCTGGGGGTTGGCACATACTATACTCGGATCGACGCAATGCAGCGCCAAGGCAAGGAGACCGGGTGAGGAGGGCGAGGAGAATGGCCGACTCAAGAACAACCAAGTTTCAACCGAGGGTGAAGATGGTGAAGACTCGTGGCTCAGAACACATTCCCAGAACATCAGTTGGACGGCACACCGATCATGTCAAAGTCACGCTAACGCAAGTCTGTTTGCGCCCTTTGGCGTCCGTGAAATGCCCGTGCGGCCACCTCCATGCTGGCGAGCAAGTCGTCTGAACCCACGAGATCTGCATCAAAAACCTGTCGAAGGCATGGGCCATAGGGTCCAAGAGAGTGCTGATATTTGCCCTCTCATATTGTTGACACGTGTCGACATCCCTGGCGCCTGCACAGCAAGTGGCTCTCCCCGCCTCCAACCGGGCCTGAAGATGCGATCACAGTGTTGTTACCTACTTGCTCAGGCTAGACGCCGAGGTTAGCGCACAGCCAGGGTCTGGTTCCACACAGGATCCTCTGTGTTCGCCAGTGCCTCACAATAGTCAACTGGAAATGGCAAAGCTAGCCAGCTTCTGAGAAATATACTATACAAGCAATCAGCTTGGCCGTTCTCTGGAAACTAGCCCACTTCGGACAAAGCCACATGTCAATCATGCACCGCTGTCGATCATGCACTATTGCAGTAGCGAATTTTGATACCGAAAGATTACGAGCGCATGCCGATGCCCTAGCCTCCGCAACTTCCAGACTTGAGAAGGCTACTGTACTCTGCTGCCCTAAGCGTTTCCAGGCATAGCAAGCATGTCTGGAAGTTTTCAAAACCCGAGACCCTACAAAGGCATCGGAATAAAATATGTATGCATGTAGGCAGGCAAGACTGCTGCACAAGCCCCTGCTTATGTGTACCGAAAGCTGGCGGGTGGGTGAAAAAGTGAAGCAAGCTGTGACAGCCCTGCCGGTGTGGATGGCGTCGGGGAAATAAAGCACCACGCGACGCGGGAGGTGCAGAACCTGCCTTTATTGCAAGCATGACGACCTGATAGACTCGCCATGGTCGTGCGTAGGTGTTGACATCAAATTGGCGACAAAGGCAGCCTGACGTGTTTGCTTGACAAAAGCCTATGTAGGAGAATGATGACATGCATGCCATCTTCGCTTGACTGGCTCCCATATGACTCATGTTCAAAGTGTCACGTGGCATCTATGTTGTTTCGGGCACGAGAAAGACACAGCGAGCCACCGCTTCGTGACAGCCTTGGCTTCCTTATTGAAAGTTAATTCCACGACAAAGCTCAGGGCATGGCTGTCGTCTTTGCCTTCGATCGACTTCTGCCGGGAACCTGGCATGTCCATAGCCACACTGCAAGATGATGCAACGTAAGAATCGCCACATCTTCGAAGTATCGGCCAATGTCACGCATCTGGCCTGGACAAGCACGTAGGGATCGGAATGGCCACCACGATCAGCCCTTGGCAGTCCTGCCAGGAGCAATTCTGTGAAGCAGCCATCTTAAGCAGATCACATGTAGATCCTTCTGCCCCGATGATGGTCACCATAACTGTCTGACTTCCAACCTCAGATGACTCACTCCCTCATGCTCATCCTGGCCTTCGGTGAAGACGTGTGAAGACTCAGAGTCTCCATTCGGCAACTACAACCAGGAGCTGGGACTCAAGTGAGCAAGGTAGCTGCCGAGACCAGTCATGATAAAGAGAGAGAGAGAGAGGAGAGGGAGAAGACCCTCCTTCAAAAGAACGTGGAGCTTCTCACAGGAGAGCAAGCCCTGCACGAAATGGAGCCGGAAGGCTACTTGGGTCGCAATCTAACCTGGGGAAAGAGAGATGTAAAAATCGGTAGAAAGCGGCGAGCCGCGGGAAGACCAAGCAAGGTACAAATCTCCAAGGATTGAGACATCGAAGCACAGCTGCTTGCTGAGTTGACCAGTGATTTCACAGTGTCGGGGGGGGCATTGGCTACGGGGAAGAGCGTTGGGAATGCAGGGTTGTAGCATGGAGTGTGCGCATGGCATTTATGGGCAAGTTCAGAAAACAAAAAGTCGAAAACATGGATTCATGCCTTGGACGAATGCACCTGCAACACCATGATCTGAAAGAACTCCTGGGGCTCGTGCTGGGGGCCAGCGCTCCATCCGAGAACTTTGCAACGCTTGCTCCCTTGGGGTGACCTGCAAGGTGTCTCAGTCTCAACAGTTCGAGCAGTAGTCAAGGAACAGTGAAGGCTGCGCGACTTAAGTGCATGGCAGAAGCGAGCGCGCCATGCGATCTCTTCGGACGCCAGTCCGGATCTTGCATGTCGTCTTCGACCTCGTCTTCTGTTAAAACTGCCGGTGGCAGCAACGGCAGCGAGGAAACTAGCAATGCAGCAAAGAACACCACGCACTAGTTTCTGAAGGTTGCTGAGGCAGTGGCATTTGCAACTGTCACGGGGTATGCCATAGGGCAGGAAGGTGGCGCCACGTCAAGCTTGGATATGGAGTCCTGTACTTGATGGCACTTGATGGCACTTCGTTTTAGGCTTTCGAAAGCTTTCGAAAGCTTTCAACTGGCGTCCCCTCCTTGGAATGTAGGCTTCCACTCTGGCTGTGATCAGAGCGGGGAGGAAACTCCAGGCTCATCTGCAGGCAGTCAACAGCCTCAGAAACACCCCTTAAGTGACCAGAAGTGGTCGGCAACATGTGTAACATATTGCAACATCGGATATCTCGACCCCGCACCGCCCGCACCGACCGCACCGCCCGCACCGCCCGCACGACGCACCGCACCGACCGCACCGCCCGCACCGACCGCGCCGACCGCGCCGACCGCGCCGACCGCGCTGACCGCGCCGACCGCAGCGCCCCATACCCATTCCCGTACCCTCCGTCTGCGAGGTCTCTGGAAAGGCTAGTCTCAGTGGTGGAGAGAAGATCATAGCCGGACCTCTTTGAAACAACAGAAGCCTCTGGGTGAAGCCACATGAGACCCATGAGACGCTGTTTTCGTGTTTGGACTGCACTTCAGAGGTTTTGATGCCAGAAGCAGCCCGGCCACTTGTGTGCGCAGCGCCAAACAAACGAAGGAGCTCTTGAGAACTCCGGGAAGCGGTGGAAGTGTCGACAGCTCTTGACCCCAAGCCACTTGGATTGGCAGTAGAAGTGTGCTGCCAAGCTAAGGCTACAGCGTTGGGTTCATGTAGCAACGTCTTTGCCTGGTCAGGCCTTAGTTGGAGAACAGAGCGGCGCACACAAAGCATGCAACGGCTTGCAGACAAGGACAGCCACCAACTGAAGCCACTGGCTCAGATTCCGCTCTCATGTCAATATACGATACGTGTACCAGCTAGGTGCTCAAAACGTACCAATACTTGTGGTGCGCCTGCCCGAGAGCAAGGCGCAGGAGGTGCAGAAGTTGGCAGGAACTGGTGTTTCGAATGCTCTGCCAGCACATTGGGATCCTTCAAGCAGGGAACATACAGATTGCCGACCACTGTCCTGATCTTTGGGCACAACGGCTAGGACGGCTAGGACCAGAAACTGGAAAGGTAACTAAAGAATCGCTTAAACTCTAATTGTTGCATACTTCTCAGTGGCCTGTCCTGACGTCTTCCAATACTGTGCAAGCGTCTGTGGCTCACAGGGACAGATCCTTTGCGTATGCTCGCTGCAGTGGATGCCATCTTCTGCGGCACTGGTGTTTGTGGAGGCTCCGGGGCTGGAAAGGCCGGCTTGGTTCTCTCAGATGCATCGTTCGCAAAGGTGACTGCGAGGCTGTGGCCCGAACCAGGAAAACGAGCTTCCAAGGCGACCGGGTGATCGACATGCACAAGCCCGCGGTAGTCGGTACGCTTCGTGATGTCAGACACCATGGGCTGCACAGGCTGCGCCAGATTATTGACCACTGGGGAGCAGGTGCTCGCTGCACGCTGTGGATTGTGAGGCCTCGGAGCCTGCCCTGCAAGCTCCATGAGCATGGCATTGTAGGTCATCCGATGCTCAAAATCAGCTTGTGTTTCTGCTCTCCGTGCCAGTTCCATATGCTTCCAGGCCACCTTCCAAGTTTCTTCAATTTGGACACGTTTCGAAATGGAACGGATGGCTTCTCTGTCTCCATGCAGCACCGTTGGCGTAAGAACCTTCTTCAATTCTTTCATTGGCATGTTGTCCAAGTTTGAGGACATGGTCTCGTGATACTTATGATACTCGCCCCTGGCCCGTCGGTGCGGAGCCCATGTGGATGCCATTTCCTTCTGCTCATTTTCGACCTTTCTGCCGTAGAAGCGGTCCAAGGTCTGCACGCGAACCGTGTTCACGAAGGCCTTCTTGGCCTCCCACGTGGCATGCTGGGCCTCGATTCGGTCCATGCGCTCCATGAGGTCTGCGTCCGTGCGCAGCTTCGGCCCGTGATAGTTCCTCCATGTCCTCGGCCCTGCGTGCGTTGGATTGTTCCACTGATTCTCACCTGGGCGGGATGCGTAGAAGGTCTGATTTTTCAGTAGGTGGCCTGCTCGGGATCGCCATCCGAGGCCACCAACATCAGGGACTCCATTCTCAAGCCTGAACTTGATCATGCCTCGTCGATTCCGCTCCTCGCGCCGGTCCGGAAACTCCAATGTACCTTGTGGCCGGAGGTCTCCGAGCTCCCCATGCTCGACATTCTCGACGTTCTCCGGCTCGGCCATGTCGGCCGTGCCGGCCGTGCCGGCCGTGCCGGCCGTGCCGGCCATGTCATCGGCTCCCGGGTCCTCTGGGCCGTCTGTTATAGACGTCGCCATGTTACAACCGCCAAACCCCGGAATGGACTGCGACTTAGAGAGCCGGGCTTCAATATGTTTCAAATGCTCTCAGCCTGGCGCACTAGCGCGAAGGTACACAAGTTGAAGAACAAACATGCATTACAGTTTCGGCAATGGCCTGGAGCCGACATGCCAAGACGTCCTGAAGCCCAACTCACAGGGGTCCTACCAGCACCGTTCAAGATTTGGCATGCAGGGTTCTTTTTTTCAGAGCAAGATGCACAGTTAAGTAAATAGTCTTTGTACCCTACGCGGAAGAAACACTTAGCTGTCGACGATTTCATGCATGGCTACTGAACTATCAACAATTCTCGCACAAAATCTGGCTTCGTGCTTCTTCCGTCGGATTCCTGCAACGAATCATCGGTCCCTTGCAGGAAATCAGGACACCTGAAGGACACCTAAGCTGTTGACCTCAGGCTTTCTATTGACCCCTCCATGCACTGATGCGGACTCACAAGGAGACCTAAGCAACAGCTGCAGAATTCACAAAAGCGCTTGCCTTCAAGGCGCATAGCATGGCAAAGCCACAATTGGCTCGACATGCTTTCGGATGTTTCTGAGCATGCTTTCTCCGACAATCTCAACACCTTCTCAGGAAACAGAGTGTATTCGAGCGAAGTAATGTTAAGGGCCTCCGGAATAAAGTCAATTTCGCAGGGCTATTCAGGACACCCTGACTGTTTGGGGGTGCAGGGTGGGGTCCGCAATAAAGTCAAATCGTCTGGGCGTCGTTAGAAGAGCGTTTAAATCAATTGCCGGGCATCGCGGTCGCTTCTAAACTTATCTAAACTCCTCCCTAATAAAAATCACAAAAAGCCCGTGGACCGTATAAACAAAACAGTAACCAGCTTCGACTGTTCTGAGGGAGGCGGAGGGGAGGGGGGGGGCCACACACTAGACAGGGTACAACATTAGTAAGAGCAAATAGTCATGGGCCCCAGCTTCTCGGATCGCACCTTCTTGCAAGGGCCTGCGTGGTAGTCACAAGTCGTCAAAGCTGTGAAAGCAAAACATGACACTCGTTGACCTGTGATGACACATGTGTGTGTGTCGGCTTTGGATGCAACCTAAGTTTAGACCCCTTGGCCTTCTGAACACGGAGAACCACCTTCATCGCTGGATCCATCCTCCGGTTACGAAACAAGTTCATCAAAAAATCAGGTAGGTGGACTCAATCAGAAAGACGTTGCGCTGCGCCATGGATACTCGGGTGAAGAAGTGTTCGGGCTTGGCTCCGCCGGCTCCTCTCTTCTGCGGCGCCGCTCGCCACGGTCTTCTTGTGCCTTCAGCGTCTTGCACTTCTAGACTGCTAACCGACTCTAGCCGATTCGAGCCGATTCTAGCCTGT